GGCTAGTGTATCGTTTCTTATTGTTTAGATATAATTTTTCTTATTTTATGATTGTTAGGAAGGACATAATATATATCTGAGAATTATTCTACTCTTTGCTTTTTTATTCAATTTATCTATTTCATGACGTTTCGAAGGACACGTCATTCATCGTCAGGTTGTTACGAATAAAATAAAGATAAAATTGATTCACAAATGAGGAACATATCTATAATTGTATCTTTATATATAAGTACAAAAATTAACTCAACTCTCTCTTTTGTTTTTTTCTTTTTCATTTTCAACAGTGGAACGGACGAAGAAGAAAAGAGGAAATATATTTTCTTTTTGTTTCAGTGTTACCGTCTCGTTGACGTTCGTTCCACTATTGAAAATTAAAAAGAAAAAGAAAAGAGAGAGTTCAATTTTCGTACTTATATATATACACAATTATACGTGTGTTCCTTATTTGTAAATCAATTTTATCTTTATTTTGTTTATAACAACCTGTTGAAGAAGGATATGCCCTTCAAAACGTCGTGAAATAAATAAATTGAACAAAAAGGTGAAGTAAAACAATTCTCAAACAAAAAAAAGTTTTCTTATGAGCAATACAATCATGATTGATCCTGATAACTTGAAATGTGGTCAAATAGAAGCGAAATTAAAATTAAAGGAATTTATTTTAACAAAAAATATTAAAGGAAATTGTGAAAAGTGGTTAAACGATATTTCTTTAGTCGGAAGAACAAATGAAAATGATGAAGAAGAAATTTTTGAAGGGTATGCAGCATGGTAAGTTTAACGCTTTTCCTATTTTTGCAGGAGCTATCTTTATGATATAATTATTCACATTTAGCAATTACTGTTATTCAACATATCGAACTCACAGCACAAAAGACAAACATGGTCAAAGAAAGAATTATGGTCTTAAATCTATACATCAACATTTAAAAGAATGCTCATACAAATCTAAAAATCAAGCATCTAGAATTGCATCATCATCAACAACCAATATTTTACCACAAGGACCACCATTACGTCAAGCATTGATACCAAAATTTACTTATAATAAAAACAAAATTTCAAATAAATATCAAAATAAATTAAAAGATGCGGAGCTAAAGTTCGTTGTTGCTGGATCACATAGTTTAAATTCACTTGAGAATGATGGTATGATTGAACTGTTACAATTGGGTATTGAAATTGGAAGTCATTATGGAATGTTAGATGTACATGATATTTTTTATGGTCGTAAAACAATTCGTGAATATTTATTAATAAAATTTGATTCATATCTTAAAACAATAAGAAATGCTCTCGATGAACCAATAAAAGAGCATTGTTTGGCAGCAACATGTGATTTATGGACTGATGATTTTACTAAAAGATCTTATTTAGATATTACTGTATTTTGGACAACTAAAGAGTATGAATTAAAACATTCATTGCTGAGATGTAAATATTTCGAAGAAGAATCAAAAACAGCAGTAAATATTTGGAACGAATGTAAGTGAACTGCATGATTATCTTTCTGTAATCATTTCTTAGTTTTCCATTAACTTTACATTTTTTTATATATTTAGTAAAAATCATTTTTGATTCATTCAATCTATCTTATGGTGATACACCAATCACGACTGATTCTGGTTCGAACATAGTTGCTGCATTCAAAATTACAGATGAAACAAGATTACCTTGTATGGCTCACCGATGTAATACAGTACTTCAAATAGCTTGGGATGAAACAATAAAAACGCACCACGATTTTGAGATTTTTTGCAATTGCATAAAAGATTTGAGAAAATTTATTAATCAAACCAGTGGAATACAAGATAAATTACCAAAGTCAATTAAATGTAATAGTGGAACTCGTCCATGGAGATCTTATTTTACAGTGCACGATTCACTGAATGCTTCATTTACAACATTAACACAAATTTTAAGTGCACGAAATGAACAACATCGTATTTTTTATATTAATACAGTTTTATTGCTTGATATTGTTGATTTAATGGAACAGTTTTCATTAATATTTGATTATTTAGAATTTTCTAATTGTCCTACATTGCAAAATGTAGTGCCGAGTTACTACAAGATGGTCAGTTATTGTCAAATCAAAGTAAATACACAAGAGAAACAAATAATCAACACATTGAAATCTGTAATACTGAAGGCATTGGGTGATAAATATTGGTCTTCTATTACACTATTACATTGGATTGCCACATTTTTAGAGCCAACATTCAAGTCTTTAACATTTGTTCACGACAAAAAAGATCGAGCAAAACGTTATAATGAAATACAGAAAAGATTACATGTATTAGCTGGTGATGTGTTGACAACTTCTGATGATGATCAACAAATATTAATTCCACCAACTGATCCTATCAGTTCATCTTCACCACCTCAAAAAAAACACAAAAATGATCCTTTTGTTGATATTCGTCAACACGTTGCAGCAAATCCATCTCCATCGTCATCAAAAACAACATTGGAATCGTTAAACATTGAACTTGATCGGCAACTTCGGCTATATAACAACATGACATTAAATAATAATTCTGAATATGACAATAATCCTTTGTTATTTTGGAAACAACAACAAGATCATTTATCATTGTTGGCTAAAATAGCCAGATCAATTATTGCTATACAAGGTAAGATTTTCGTTTGATATAAATCTGTTCCAGATTTAGTACTAAAGGGATCAGGTAAACGTTACATATCTTACTATATTTAGATCTTATATATTACTTGCAATTCTTTTTTATGTATTTTAGCATCATCTAGTGAAAGTGAACGACATTTCTCAATAGCTGGTAGAGTAGTCACTGAACAACGAAGTAATCTTGATTCTGATTGTGTTGAAGCCTTAGTTGTGCTAAAAGAAGCTTATCTTAATAATTTATGGCCTAAAGAAGATTGATATTGCTGTTGTAATCAATGGATACTTAAAAAGAAAAAACTGACTATATTTTCATTTATATATATATTATTATTATTTTGTGAATTATGTGAAATGTAATTTATATTTATGCTATTTACAACAGTCGTTGTGAGAGTGAGATAGTACTCAAAGATTATGAAAATTTTGTTTTGTCATTTTTTGTTCTTTTTTTTAACTATTATTTAATTAAGAAGAAATAATAAAAAGTTTGTGATGAATCAGAAAATAAAGGAGTAGCAACTAGTTTGTCATAACTACTTCAATTTTTCAAGATAATACACTTTAAAATGTTTGAGACTTATCATAACTGGTATCTTTTCCTCAGAGTTTGGCTAATTATAGACCAGTAATATTTGTATTAAACAATGATTTATGTTCAGTGACCATCTTCGTTCATACTAACATCATAGGATCCAAATATCTGTAATAAAATGAAGACTATTCATTCATATCTCACTGAAACATCGTTTCTTTTACACAATCATAGGCATATTGAAACTCATGTTGCATTAGTTGAGCTTTTATCCATCATATCTTAAAAGATACATACATCTGGTTTTTTACCAGTCAAATTATACCATAAAACCGGCCGGTTTTTTGCCGGTTTTTTACCGGTCTAATCGCAAATATAAACCGGCCGGTTACCGGCCGGTCCGGTCCGGATGAAAATGTCAAACCGGCCGGTCCGGTCCGGTCAGAAAAAACTCGACCGGTTCCAAGTCTGCTTCAGAATAATATTGTATTCGAGCTAGTCATTTACAAACGATTA